CGAGCAGAACACACGCGAAATCAGTCCTGCCTTCTGAGAGAGAGCTACACATCACTCACAACAGAGAGGAATGCAAGCATCTAAGCAAGTTCACATAACTCTAACCGTGCATTACTGCAACATCTAGTCCCACCGGAGAGTGCGGCCGCATCGTCGCGTTGAACCCCTTAATGTCCCTTAAACAAAAAACCCTGTTCCGCACTCCCACCCTCATAATTTAACGACCACAGGGGCTTCTGCGATAACACGGCTTCGTATAGATTGGCGGCTGAACAAACATCGTGCACTTACGGGTCGCGTTTTCACGTAGGCGGGCAAGTAGTTCGCAGTTGGCGAAGGCATCCCAGTGCTGTGCTGTATCCACCCGTCGTCGCCGAAGCCAGGACTAGCAACACCTGCAGCAACATCTTCACCTCTGGCAACGGAAAAAATGAATTCTCACAAGCTGATCGCGAATGTAGTTCTGTCTAACATATCTAACCAACAGCAGCAACAACAACAACAACAACACCAGAAACAGCAGCAAACCAACAACAGAAAACAGCAGCAGTCAACAACAACAACAACAACAACAACAACAACAACAACAAGCAACAACAACAACAACAACAGCAACAACAACAACAGAAACAGGCAGCAACAACAACACCACCAGCAATATGGACATTAGTGGAAATTCTGTGTGCAATCTTTGAAGATCTGTGCAAACCTTAGCTTTGATGACAAACCAACAGGGCCAAGGATGACCTGGCCAGACTACTCTATCGTACCATGCAAACGCATGTCGTTCAGTGGCAATTTTGAAATCGTGCAGTGTCACCTTGAAATGTTTCCAGATTAGAAATCGTAAGCTTTTGTGACCATCCATTCCAAATTCTGTCGCCACGAGTATATTACTAAACATTTATATCTGAGAAAATGCTTTTCAGAAGAGAAGGAGAGGCTCAAACTCGAGACAATGAGTAGAACATTATATTGCTTGTGCATAAACGCGTACTGTAGCATGTGAGTCTACTACACAGTCAGTAATATATAAATAATAGCCACTTTCGTAATATACTAATACACATTGTTAATAATTAATACAGCCGAACACAGAATATAGAGTGCAGAAGGGCCACCGTTTACATCTGCTCGTAACGGCGAGTGCGGTGGTCACGTTAATTCTCCTTTGTGCATGCAGGATGGGCATGCAGGATCCACACCATTCCCCAGTACTTAGTTTCAACAAACTTACACTATACATAGTCCGTTTCTAAGAACACGGTGCCACGCTTAGCACCGTAAATCATTCTATGCGCGAAGAATTTAGATACGGGAAGAGCAGAACTTTGATAATGCTGTTCGCTGGTTCATTTTAGCAACTTACGAAAACAGGTGAAAGTCGACGTCGTTTGTAATTCCTACATTATACGTACCTATCTGTTGCACACCTTGTCACGTGCCACCCTGTGTCACGTACGGCTATCAATCCCTCTCCGTTCGCCTTGCGATCGACGGATCTACAGAAACCTTTGTTTACAAACTCACGGAAACGAAAGCTGAACTATCGACGGAGTTCACAGCAAGGAAAACTGAGCGTACAACGTCATATCATCGTGAAGAAAAACCGAAATATATTACACTTGTATGATCGAAACACCGCCCCGCCAGTACGCTGCTTCAAAGGCTACCGGTTCTTCTACTGGCCGTTCGACGAACGCAGGTATGTTGTGATCAATATACGTGAGCCGCAGTCCTCCTCCGTACACACAACTTGAATAAATGGGATGCAGTGAACCGTGGAGGCAGGCAGCGTACGCTCAGTTCACGCCCAGATCCAGTCAGACACTGAGACAGTACCTGCCGGTTGTACGTGGGGATTATACGAGTCGAATAAATAGACGACATGAGTAGAAACTGCGAGGGACGAGAACTTAGACGAATGTGACGCTTTTGAGTTTTTGAAGTTGAGGTTGATTATCTAGCATTTAGTTATTCGATCAAACGTCTTGGCGTGCAGCTACCGTGCTTCAAGTTAGTTTTCATTGTCACGTCGCGCCATCTCGTGGTGAATGACGATGTCAATGCTCACGAGTTACAGTATCAAGCACAGCCTGCACTTGGGCCGTTTCAATAATAAAACGATGCTATATAAATAAATTGTATTTACTATCAAAATAATAATGTTTATGTACTCTCTATTTCTCAATAAATCCACGTAAATGTTATTCAAATGCTCCTCTGCAACTCACCATCCACCGCACGCACACCACAGTGCACAAACTTACAGAAAGATATCTTTGTAGTTCATTACAATTTGTGTTTATTTACCATCATTTTATTACTGTGTGCGTGTTGTGTGTTTGTGTTTGTGTTTGTGTGGTGTGTAATGTGTGTGTGTGTGTGTGTGTGTGTGTGTGTGTGTGTGTGTGTTGTGTGTGTGTGTGTGTGTGTGTGTGTGTGTGTGTGTGTGTGTGTGTGTGTGTGTGTGTGTGTGTGTGTGTGTGTGTGCCGTCATGTATTGTAAATATCATTCAACATCGTGTCTTGGAAAGTAATATGTACTGTAACTATAGTGTATGGCTGACTCGATGACCGCAAGGTCCTTTCGCCGTACCCGTGCATTATTGCAAAGTTATAACTGTTTAATTTTCCCACTGTCTGATTTATCCTGGTTTAGCACAAATAAAATCTTGAATCTTGAAATCTTGTGTGTGTGCGCGCGCGCGCGTGTGTGTCTGTTTACATGTGTGCGTGTGCGCTTGTGTGTGTGTGTGTGTGTGTGTGGTGTGTGTGTGTGTGTGTGTGTGTGTGTGTGTGTGTGTGTGTGTGTGTGTGTGTGTGCATGCGTGCGCGCGCACGTGTGTCCATCTGCGTGGGTAGGCAGCTAGGTAGGTAGGTAGGTAGGTAGGTAGGCAGGTAGCTGGCTGGGTGGCCTGTGTGGGTAGGCAGCTAGGTAGGTAGGTAGGTAGGTAGGTAGGCAGGTAGCTGGCTGGGTGGCCTGTGTGGGTAGGCAGCTAGGTAGGTAGGTAGGTAGGTAGGTAGGCAGGTAGCTGGCTGGGTGGCCTGTGTGGGTAGGCAGCTAGGTAGGTAGGTAGGTAGGTAGCTAGCTAGGTAGGTAGGTAGGCAGGTAGCTAGGTACTCGTTAGCGATGGTACGTTATGACGGAGCTCGGCATGTTAGCATCGTGAATTATTAGCGATGCGGGAACCGACGCGCAGGTGCACAGCGCGCGTAGACAGGTAGATCTACCGACTGATTGCTGCCACCTCGATCCGTCATGATCCTTCCCCCGTGTGGCGTTCTTATGCCAGGGGTAGAAATCAACTTTTGAACAAGGGAGTCGGACTCCCTGCCCTCAAAAAGAGGGAGTTCGCAGCAAAATAATGGAGTCCGCAGTCTGAATTTCAAAACTAAAGATATTAACAATAACGCATGTGCTTATTTTTAAGATTCATGCAGGTCTGCCAAATTGTCTTTGAACATTTGCTGAAAAAATACGGTAATTCCGTGAGGTCGTGCTCTGGAACAAACTAGTTGGTATATAGCAGAATTTTCAGGGAGTCGCACGGACTCCTGCATATGTCAAATCAGGGAGTCCGACAGTAAATTAGGGAGTATTTGACTCCGGACTCCCGTTAATTTCGCACCCTGTTATGCTTTCTCCATGTCCGTGTTCTAGTGTTATACGACTGTTACGTCTCACTGTCTACGTACGGGATATATTCTACACTACACTAGTGTTTCGGATTTCTTCCGATTTCATAATGGTTTGCGAAAAGCATGGTAAGGTGGTCTTTAAGCCGTCTCTCTCGGTAACATTCCTCAGTATTGTTATTATTATTATTATTAAATCTTTATTGCATGTAATTCAAATACAAATACATGTACTGAAGATAGTCTTTTTCATGGAGAAAAAATCTTATAAATGCAATATTGTGTTGAGCAGTTAAAATAATAAAATTTCTGATTTTATTCCCCCACGGCATCCACATTACCCGTGGTAAATTACCGTGTATATAGATAATTGTCATTTCTGTTTCGAATTTCGATTCTATAGGAAACGATAGTAGATAATATATTGTTTATCAAATTTTTTACGCTTTATCGGTCGTCAAGAAATAACTTACTAATAACTCAAGTTTATTACGACGTCGTTGCTGTGCTCGGGGCGCGGGAGAACCAGGAGACATATGCTACGTACACTGGCTGATGAGCAGCAGTAGCTGTTGACAGCTGATGGTGATGCCAGGCCAGCGATGCGAGGGGGTAGCGGTGGTTGCTGCTGTCTGTCTGTGCTCACGGCTTACGACTCATGAGCACACACACACACACACACACATAACCTATCCTGTCCGCAATCCCCTCACCTCTCTCATGCATGCTGTCGTCTACGGCCGGGGTAAAACCTGCCTAGCATCCTCATCCCCCAGGAGCACGCGCTGGGATGCTGCGGTGTGGTCGGGATGGTGTGAGTCACGGCACAATAAAATCCGGAGATGGCTCCATATAGTGTGTATGTGTGTGTATTAATTAACGCACGAGCTCGAGGGAGCGTGCTGGGTGTGTGGGGGTGGGTGGGGGAGAGGCTGTGATACTATGAGCGGACTCAACACGACTGACGACGCTGGCTCGTTAGCTGGAGTGCAGCAGCAGCAGCAGTAGTAGCAGCAGTAACAGCAGCGGCAGTAGTAGCAGCAGCAGCAGCAGAAAGATATCTTTCTGTAAGTTTGTGCACTGTGGTGTGCGTGCGGTGGATGGTGAGTTGCAGAGGAGCATTTGAATAACATTTACGTGGATTTATTAAGAAATAGAGAGTACATAAACATTATTATTTTGATAGTAAATACAATTTATTTATATAGGCTACCATCGTTTTATTATTGAAACGGCCCAAGTGCCTGTGCTTGATACTGTAACTCGTGAGCATTGACATCGTCATTCACCACGAGATGGCGCGACGTGACAATGAAACTAACTTGAAGCAGGTAGCTGCACGCCAAAGACGTTTGATCGAATAACTAAATGCTAGATAATCAACCTCAACTTCAAAAACTCAAAAGCGTCACATTCGTCTAAGTTCTCGTCCCTCGCAGTTTCTACTCATGTCGTCTATTTATTCGACTCGTATAATCCCCACGTACAACCGGCAGGTACTGTCTCAGTGTCTGACTGGATCTGGGCGTGAACTGAGCGTACGCTGCCTGCCTCCACGGTTCACTGCATCCCATTTATTCAAGTTGTGTGTACGGAGGAGGCTGCGGCGTCACGTATATTGATCACAACATACCTGCGTTCGTCGAACGGCCAGTAGAAGAACCGGTAGCCATTTTGAAGGCAGCGTACTGGCGGCGCGGTGTTTCGATCATACAAGTGTAATATATTTTCGGTTTTCTTCACGATGATATGACGTTGTACGCTCAGTTTTCTTGGTGAACTCCGTCGATAGTTCAGCTTTCGTTTCCGTGAGTTTGTAAACAAAGGTTTCTGTAGATCCGTCGATCGCAAGGCGAACGGAGAGGGACTGATAGCCGTACGTGACACAGGTGTGCACGTGACAAGGTGTGCAACAGATAGGTACGTATAATGTAGGAATTCAAACGACGTCGACTTTCACCTGTTTTCGTAAGTTGCTAAAATGAACCAGCGAACAGCATTATCAAAGTTCTGCTCTTCCCGTATCTAAATTCTTGCGCATAGAATGATTTACGGTGCTAAGCGTGGCACCGTGTTCTTAGAAACGGACTATCACTATGTATACTATAGTGTAAGTTTGTTGAAACTAAGTACTGGGGAATGGGTGTGGATCCTGCATGCCCATCCTGCATGCACAAAGAAGAATTAAGTGACCACCGCACTCGCCGTACCGAGCAGATGTAAACGGTGGCCCCTTCTGCACTCTATATTCTGTGTTCGGCTGTATTAATTATTAACAATGTTATTAGTATATTACGAAAGTGGCTATTATTTATATATTACTGACTGTGTATAGACTCACATGTACAGTAGCGTTTATGCACAAGCAATATAATGTTCTACTCATTGTCTCGAGTTTTGAGCTCTCCTTTCTCTGAAAAGCATTTTCTCAGTATAAATGTTTAGTAATTATACTCGTGGCGACAGAATTTGGAATGGATGGTCACAAAAGCTTACGATTTCTAATCTGGAAACATTTCAAGGTGACACTGCACGATTTCAAAATTGCACTGAACCGACATGCGTTTGCGTGGATACGATAGAGTAGTCTGGCAGGTCATCCTTGCCTGTTGGGTTATGTCATCAAAGCTAAGGTTTGCACAGATCTCAAAGATTGCACACAGAATTTCCACTAATGTCCATATTGCTGGTGGTGTTGTTGTTGCTGCTGTTTCTGTTGTTGTTGTTGCTGTTGTTGTTGTTGTTGTTGTTGTTGTTGTTGTTGTTGTTGTTGCTGCTGCTGTTTCTGTTGTTGTTGTTGCTGCTGTTTCTGGTGTTGTTGTTGTTGTTGTTGCTGCTGTTGGTTATGATGTTAGACAGAACTACATTTCGCGATCAGCTTGTGAGAATTCATTTTTTCCGTTGCAGAGGTGAAGATGTTGCTGCAGGTGTTGCTAGTCCTGGCTTCGGCGACGACGGGTGGATACACACAGCACTGGGATGCCTTCGCCAACTGGAACTACTTGCCCGCCTACGTGAAACGCGACCCGTAAGTGCACGATGTTTGTTCAGCCGCCACAATCTATACGAAGCCGTGTTATCGAGAAGCCCCTGTGGTCATTAAATTAGAGGGTGGGAGTGCGGAACAGGGTTGTTTTGTTTAAGGGACATTAAGGGGTCAACGCGACGATGCGGCCGCACTCTCCGGTGGGACTAGAGTTGCAGTAATGCACCGGTTAGAGTTATGTGAACTTGCTTAGATGCTTGCATTCATCTCTGTTGTGAGTGATGCGTAGCTCTCTCTCAGAAGGCAGGACTGCATTTCGGTGTGTTCTGCTCGGAACATTAAAGGCTGAGTGTGTCATCGATCGCACCGTTCTGAACACTGAATGCTTACTAACCTTTGACCTAATTCCATCCAGTTTCCACTGAGCAAGAGTGCACCATCTGAGAGCTGATAGCTAGTGGTCTTAGTGTTAGACTTATTCCTTGTCCATCCATCTGGTGTACAACTGATTAGGAAGGCATTTAACCAGTAGGTGATATAAGATGATAGGTTGGTAGAGGTAATGGACAGAGCATGATGAGTGTGCATAGGCTTCAGGGGGCATGGGGTTACAGTGATAAAACGTGAGGCAGTAGCTTCTAATACTACATGCGCTCCTTCACTTTGTAAGTGCTCGGGATTATTCGATGAGTATATCGCTCTTTCTGGCCATCCTCCCACCCTCTTCTCCTCCCCCTCTTCTCCTCCCCCTTTCTCTCTTCCTCTCTCTCTCTCCCTCCATCTCTCCACCTTTTCTCTGCCTTGCTCTCTCTCTTATGCACTCTTTACTCTCCTTTCTCTTTCTCTCTCTCTCTCTCTCTCTCTCATCTCTCCCCTCCACTCTTTCCCTTCAACCTCTCTCCCCCTCTTTCTCCCCCTTCTCTCTCTCTCTTCCCCTGGAGAGTGATCCAGAAAAGGTTGCTTCCGCTCACAGTGAGAGCGGACTCGGTACGTTGCCCCATGGCCGACAATGATTTAATACTCTTCTCTCCTTTATCACTAAGCTTCAAATCATCGTGATGTTCAACCACATTTAAAATCTTTCTCCAGCCTCCCGGCACGAGGGAACAAGGCTTCGGATGATGTTTTTCACACGCTGCCTTGCCACGGTGGTGGGCCACATGAAATTTCAGCATGATTGCACTTTAGGGTTATATATACAATAGTCAACGGGCAACATTAGCTATCGTCGGACCCCCATGCGGCATGCTGCTAATGAAAAGCCTGAGTTGCTAATTGTGGTTATGCAAGTGGCCTAATGACTCAAACATTAGGCGGATGTGCAGAGTTTGAGATGCGTAGGGCAATTTTCAGATTCTCTTTCTCTCTCTCCCTGCTCTTCTCTTCCTGACCCTACTTTCCCCTTCTCCATTATCTTGCTCTCACTCACTCATTCACTCCTCTCTTTCCCCCTCTCGTTCTCTTCCTGCCCCTCCCTACTCTCTCCGCTCCCAATCGCTCTCGCTATTCCCCTCCTCTCTCACTTCACTCTCTCATCTCTCTCTCTCTCTTGCTCCCCTTCTCTCTCTTTCTCCCCTTCTCTCTCTCTTCTTTTCTCTCTCTCTCTCTATCTCCTCTTCCCCACCCCTCCCTCAGCTCTGCCCTGCCCTCCCCTCTCTCCCTAGCTCCCCATGGCGCCCTCCAGCTATCTCTCCCCTCTTCATTCTCTATCTGTCTGTGTCTACAGTCGATCCGTGTCTATTTGGGCAGCGGAAGGCCTAGGCGCGAGCGATTGCAATTTTTTCGCCACTTTGTACTTATTGATGGGACGGATGTGTGGGAAGAAAGTGAGATGGCGAGCCCTGATCGATGGTCATTGAAGCCACCTCTTGTTTCGCTTCGTACTCTCCTTCCAGCATCCTTCATGCAGCCTCCTCATCCGTACATGTTGTATTTTAAATGCCACGCGATTCGCTCTTCCATCAACCACATTGGTGTGAGGGATCCATGGGTGGTTCTGCCACTGTGGTGGGCGAGTGGCTGGGGGTAAGGATGCGTGGAGCGAGGGTGCGGCGTAAGGAGAGTGCGTGGGCTGAGGGGTGGGGTACGGAGTGATTGGCCAAGGGTCGGGGCAACAGTTCTGATCGTTAGGTCTCGTGGGTGGGTAAAGGTGAGACGGGGCTCTGGATAAGTGTGGCGGTAGATGAGATGGGGTGGTGAGGACAGACTGGCCGGCACCGGTAATATGCGGTGGAGCCGCGTTACGTAGTGTGCGATGGCAAACGGTGAGATCGGGGTACGTAGTGCATGGAGGATGGGGTTACGTTGGCGCTCCAGTGCAGGTCCGGGGGGGGGTACGTGTGCTGCGACGGTGGGCAAGACACACCGTCGGTCTTTATCCTATCTCGTGATGCCAGTCTTGCTTATCCCTGACAGCCTGTGAGCGGCGGCTCTGCTAGCGTACTAGTCCGAACAGCTAGGCATCTAACGACATAAGTTTGCCCTAACGCCAGCTCGTTAAAATATTAAATGCGCCGTCGATAACGGCTTTCGTGAAATTATAATGGTCGTGCGCGCGACGGTTCCGTCGCTGACTGCCTGCTGCTGCTGTTGCTGCTTGCTGCTGCTACTTACTGCTGCTGCTCACTGCTGCCTGTGTACTGCCTGCTGCTCGCTGCTCTGTCCTTATACTGCTGCCGTGCTGCTCTGCTGGCTACTACATATGCTGCTGTGCTGCTGCTGCTGCTGCTGCTGCTGCTGCTTATCTGCTGCGATCTTTT